ATTAATTTTTTTTAATATAATTTTTAATGCATTGTTTTTTAATTTAAATTTTTTAAATTTTAAATTACCCACGACCAACGTGTCCTACGGTGCACGATACAAATAATACGAATAGACGAAGTATATATGCTTGTCACAAGATGGAAGCAGTACCGGATAGCTGGGATTTCAAGGGGGGCATATATACCCGGCATATTACCACAGACATAACGGATACATAGTAACCGTAACAGAGTAACGGATACATATCCGTTAGTCTGTGATATTACCCGAGGGGGTCATTTTGCACCACTCTCCCCTACGTTACTTCGTTAGGTGATTACACGTTTAACTTCTCTTAGCTATTCTACGGGTTAATATTGTAGCCGTCTCTGTCTCTCCCAGTCGTGTGCTCTGCGGCTCGGCGTGAGTTCGTGGGTTGGCAATGTGTCTCCCTGTCGTGTGTAGGCTATAATCCCTTAGTATAAGGTGTACCTTCTCGGGCGTTGTCCTGCTCGTAGGTCCTCCTCGTACCACCTCCGACGGTGTGTGTGCGCTCTCTCTCCTTCAATCGCTCCGTTCGTTCGTTCGTTCGTTCGTTCGTTCGTTCGTTCGTTCGTTCGTTCGTTCGTTCATTCGTTCGTTCGTTCGTGGCCGTCCGAAGACTGACTGATTTTACTGTTGGCTCTCGGCTGCTTATATAGGACCCTGCGGTGACGTAGGAACCTGGCTGTGCCTCCCTCTCCTGTGCCCCAGGTGCCTGGCCGTTGTCCCCCCTCCCTATACTCGCTTAACACGTGTACAGGTGATGCAACCCCCCTGGTCCATGTATATGTATCCAGTATATGTCCAAGCGTCACACCCCCCTGTCTGCCACGTGCTCGGCCGGTGCTGCTCTCTCGCCCGGCGCTTGTACGTGATGGCGCAACTCCTTGATCTCCCACATCTGGTAGCTATGGGACCTCCTTCCCCGCGCTTGTCTGTGTCGTTGCGAAAAACTTTCTACCTCTGTTGCGGTGGCTGGTCTCTAGTTGTATGACGTCATCTCCCCCCTGAAATCTCCACAACTCTTCACCCCCCTGAAATCTCCACAGTATATTCGTTATATGGTCTCTCGACGTGATGCGGCCATGATGCCTAGGCGCGCCGAGGATTGACACTGTGTGTCTTCCAATCACAGCCTACGCCGCACCAGTGTTTTATATTTTTAAATATGGGGACCCATTGGACCACCAAATCGCCGATCTCAGGAACTAGGGCATTCTGCTAGGCTAGAACGGTTTCCTACGATATATAGAGTTTGGCACAAATACGAAAATAACACGCTGTTTGGTGCACTGCGCTACGTCCTTCTGTTGAATTTTCGCGTTTCTGTAATCAGAATAAGCCCCGCCTTCTTCGTTGATGGACATGAATGAAGCCGTCAACGACATGACCCGTTACTGCGTGTAGGTGTTTGGCGAGACTGTTTGCTTTTCGTAAATAATGAAAGGCCCGGCCGATGCATTTCGCACCAAAGTGTAAAAATTTTGCATTTTTACTCGCTTTCGGAAGTGAACGAGTGCGTCATTCATTAAACATTGAAGTTTTTCTTAAAATTACATAATTCCGAAAATCCCTAACCGCGCTACTCGATTGTTTTAGCCAATGAACGTACGTAGCTGTGTGTGCGACGTCTTTCCCGCACGCTTTATGCTTGGCTTAGCGGGCCGCGAAATAAATATCGGAGGCACGCACCTCGCAACACGCGTGTTTGTTTACATACAGCTTTGTGACATCAAGATGGGCAGTGTCGAGAGTTCTGCGATGATTAACCTCGTAATTTCTCAGCATTATGCATGAATGCAAAATTCTGCAATAATGCAATAATGCTGCATGCATGAAACATTTGACCAATTTAGTGGTGTCCGTTAGTCACGGATATGTCACAGTAAGTACTAACCGTATATGTTTCACATACGTTCACCTATTTTGCACACAGGCGGTCGATCATTGTGAAAAATAGTGTGAAGATTTATTTTTATTGAGACGTTCCAAGTGCCCGTGCTTTCATCAGTCAATGCATGCACGTCATGCACGTCAATGCACGTGCGTCAAGAGCCATAAACTCAACACAATTTCATCTCTGTTATTGTTTACGCCTGAATGCGTGATTGATCAGGGACGGGTGCATGTAAGAGGAAAACATTTTCATGGTGCGTGTGCCCGTACACGTGCGGTCGTGTGCATGCACAGCATGTACACGTGCGTGCGTGCGTGCGTGTGCACGCACACGCGCGAGCGTGCGGGCGTGCGCCCGTACACGTGCGGGCGTGCGGGCGTGTGCATGCACGTACACGTGCGTGCGTGCGTGCGTGCGTGTGCACGTACACGTGCGTGTGTGCGTTCGTGCGTGCGTGCGTGTGCACGTGCACGTGCGGGCGTGCGCACGTATCCGTCAACGTTATAAATACGGTCACCTTTCAATACAGGTTGCTACGCGTACGCTAGCGATATCGTGCTACTAGGCATATACTGGGGAGAATCATGCATAGGTTCATATAGGAGAATCATAGCCATGCAAGGACCTATGCTATATAATTTGCTGCAAAATATTAATTCATTTATCCGAATAAGATTAATTCCAAGTCTTTTCGAGAGTTAATTACGTGTATTTCGAATCATTTCGAGACCTTTCTTGTTCTCAAGAGTTAATTAGTTTGATTTCAATTGATTTTGAGAGTTAATTTCGTGCATTTCAAGTCATTTCGTGTCATTTCGGTGTTTAGGAGGTCCCGCGCGTGCCAGGTGGCCGGAAGTAAACAATAACTTGAACATGGAAGGAGCATTATGGAAATGGACAAACTATATCCATGGTATATGATGATTATAGTTGTATGCAGCTGTAGTTCTATTACTAATGGCTAATGCTATGCTAGTTAATTGTTAGTTAATTAGTTAATTAGTTAGTTAGTTAAGGATAAGGCCCGGGTACACCGTACAGGCTCAGGGTAATCAAAGATGATAGAGGGGTCATAGTATTACTACTACTACTAGTAGTAGTACTAGTACTACTAGTACTAGTAATACTAATGTAATGGTACTCTATATCTGGCGATTTCATGAATCGGTCGATTGTATGGGTACGATGGCTACATCACTATATATATGTGTACGAATTGCTATTAGTATTGCTCATACTCATAGGGTCTATGTCCCCCAGGGTACTGCCGGAACGTACCCTGGTCACTATTTGATATGGTTAGGGTTAGGATTTAAGGGTTAGGGTTAGGATTAGGGTTAGGGTTCGGGTTAGGGAGTAGGCGTAGGCGACTCCCTGGACTCGTTAGTGGAGTAGGCGAAGTACGGTTCGGCATATTAGATAGTACCAGGGTACGTTCCCGCAGTACCCCGGGGGACATAGACCCTCTCAGCATTAGTATTAATATTGGGTATGGGTATGCGTAATAATTTGCGTATGGGTATTATCAATAGCTAATAATACCTAGAGTGTACCACGGAAAAACGTGAAAATAGTGCTATTTCACGACATGATTATTCTACTTTTCCTGCGAGTCTAGAATAATTTTATGGTATTGCATTAAGCCCCATTCTTTGCTCTCTAAAAGTTAAAACAAGACCAACCGCTTGTCAATACGATACTCCTAGCTTAGACTGAGATGTTGTCTCGTAAACTTCCCCTCCTACAGGCCTCACGGCGCCTCGAATCCACATCAGTCAGCATTCTTCTCGCCGCTAAGGTTGCTTCGTGAGAGTTCGGTTTTTCCGCGATAACTTTATGAATGAACGGCGTTTCGGTTATCATAGGTGACTTTCGGGGGCATCGCCTATGCCCTTATCTCCCATTATCTTTCCTAGCACGGCTAATGCCAGTCATGATGGAGCCGGCAATGTTTTCTAAATTAAGTCTCTACCACGCAGCTCAGTTACTATAGGGTGTAGTAAGAGTACCAAATTTGGGCATGTGACATCAATTATCAGCGCTGCAAGCGGTGACGGAAACCGATAGCCAAAATGCTTAGGGGCGAGTAGGATGCTGACTGATGTGGATTCGAAGCGCCGTGAGGCCTGTGGGAGGGGAAGTTTATGAGCCAATATCTCAGCCTAGGAGTATCATATTAACAAGCGGTTGGTCTTGTTTTAGAGAGCAAAGAAGTCTGCTTAATGCAATACCATAAAATTATTCTAGACTCGCAGGCAAAGTAGAATAATCATGTCGTGAAATAGCACTATTTTCCCGTTTTTTCGTTGTACACTCTAGGTATTATTAGCTCTTGGTATTATTGGTGGTCATTCGGCATCCTCATCATTGATATCAATGATGAGGATCATTCATAGTCAAATTGTAAGTGAGTGTACCCTATCAAGAAACATTGTTAGAAAGATGACACAAAATTGGGCACAGGATAGCCGACGAAATGAATGTGTGCATTCTGGACAAAAATGTTGATATTTCACCTGGGCACTGAATGTTCATAAATTTGACATACCTACATTTCCACACGTTATTGAACATGATTGTATTCTATGACTGGATATATGATAGTACATGTGTTCATGATAATTGTGCGAAGATGGCACGAGACTAAGTTATGATTAATGCATGCAAACAATAGAAGTAGAGGCTAAACTTTACTTCTATCATAGAAGTAGTGTGATGATGGTGAGAGAGGGTCGAGAGGATAGAGGAGGAAAAATATGTATGTGCGTGACAGAGTGGAAATGTCAAATGGTGGAAAAGCTGGAGGGGGGGATGTACGGCTCACGCCTAGTTTAGCACCATAAATTAGTGTAGCACATATGCGAACACATATTGCGGGGGTCCCAAACTATCCTTGATCTGGATATACCCTATTGAAAATCACAGAGTAGGGGTTGAGGCACTAGGAAGAGAGAAAATGGCAGTGGTGGCAGAGGAGATGGTGGATGAGAAAAGGAGTAGGGAGAAGGTGAAGGAAATGGTGGAGGAGAGGTATTGAGAAGGGAAGAAGTGGTCGAGAGGAGGAGTAGGGATAATGTTTGGAAGTATTACTTAAAGAAAGAGGCACTGTTGATACATGCTACGGCCCCTACCACCTGAAGCTTGCAAGTTAAAGAGCAGCATTAGTGTAAAATTTTACGGTATATTATTATACATATTGTGTAAACGATAGTATATACTTGCATATTCTTTTAAGAGACTTAAATTTAATTGTTATTAGTAAGACATTGCTTGCAATGACAATGTAGAACTTGTGCTACCCTCTAACGAAGTTACACTATCGATATATGTTATAAATAGGGCATGATAGATTTGTCTTCTTTTATATCAGGAGTCTATCAATTATATGTTTATAATTTGTTTATTGCTAAATGTGTCATTTGCATTATTTTGCTAGGATGGCAAGCAAGGTGGTTTGTGTTGGATGAGGGGATTCTGGCATATTACAAATCTCAAGATGAAGTGAATCAGGGATGTAAAGGAAGTATCATGATGGCTGCCTGCGAAATAATTGGTATATATAAGCTCAACTTAATTTTATTAGCTACACTGAATCCATAATGTGATTTCACAAGCCATTCTTTACTTTTACTTGCCAAATATTTTACTTTATATATATGTTTTATATTATTATATATATTATTATACTGCTTCAGCGAATATCATATTGCAGTCTATTTATAGCCAAATTAAATTGTTGTTTAATAATGTCAGGGGTGGCACTATATAGGGGTTCTGCATGAGTAAATCATTTTGGTGAAACCTTTTGGTTTACCTGCATATTAAAGGATTTATTACGAGATTCTTGCTCAGAAACACTCCATTCGAAAAAATATAGCGAAATATAGTCTCACCCCACGGCGATATATCTGCTGATTACACCAACTTGTAAAACACTAAGGTTTTATGCAGTTATAGCATAGAAAATTGGATATGAACACATCGTAGCGCACTGAAGTTTTATCGTGTAGGGACACTGTCAAAATGCATACGCTTGTAAATTGTCGGTGACAAAATTGAAAACAATTGCATGTGAGAGAGACGTATATGTCTATGGCAGATAGGTGGCACTATGAGTTGGTCTAAGACAGTACCGGCTCTAGTTCTAAGGTTTCAGCAAACGATCAAGTTTGTCAAACTAGTTCGAAAAGTGCATGTTTTGGTGAATAAGAAGGTTCTAAGACATTTTATCATTACTTTAGACAATTGCTGTTACTCAAGCAGTAACGGTAAGTATCGTAAAAGTGGCGACAACACCAGATTATGGTCAAAAAGTTTTTCAATCACTCCGTCAGACCATGTCCTCAGAAAATGTCTAAAATCTGCCCTCTGCCCCAATGACCTTTGACCTGTGACCTCCAATTTCGGCACAGTGATGGTTTTTCTTACCATGATGCTATACACCGACTATCACGAGCCTAGGTCGAGCCGTTTAGATTTGTGCCGCAATTCTGCATTTCCTCCTTATACCTTAAGTTAAGGAGGGAATGTTCCCCCTTCTTTTACACCTTTTGACCTTTGACCTTTGACTCCCAGCTTCGACATCCCAACTCGTTTTCGGATTACCCCCCCACGTCCCGAATATCGTGACCGTACGTCGAGCGGTTAACATTTGTGCCCAACTGTTGACGGACGGACAATTATGCGATTCTACAAGCTGCACCTGACTACGTCAGATGAGCTAAAAATTAGTACTGTGTGTAATACTTGTTCATTTTGTTTGGCACTACAAGTGCATCCTACCGATAGAAAACGACTCGATCTTCATGTTCCACATGAACAACATTTCTATCTGAGAGCAGCAACAGCACAAGAGAGGCAGCAATGGTTAATTGGGCTTGGCAGTGCTAAGGCCTGTCTGACCGCAACAGTGCAGAAGCCAGAACTAGGTATATGCATATTTATGTGATTATACCAGGAGTCTATCAATATTGATAGACTCCTGATTATACTGCATGAAGGTTGGTTGTAAAGTACCTTAAAATAATACAAACTGATGGCTAAATTGACTATCTTGATGCAACGATGTGGGTTTCTTTCTATCATGTATTTACTATTTTCTTCTGTCAGTAGGTGAGGGCCAGTCGGACACTGTAAAGTCTAAGAAATCTGAACTTCGTCTATACTGTGATCTCCTTTCCCAGCAAGTACATTCCATAAAGGTTGCATGCACGGAATGCAATCCACCAGACATAGAGGTAGGTTGACTTTGGTGCACCTGCTGTCATTGCAAATTGTCACCACTGTCATTTCGTAAAGAAAGGGGCTTCTCACGCAGTGTATGTGAGACTAGTGTCACAGTGACTTGCATAGAGTAATTAATAAATTTAGCTTTCTGCTGTTATAGAATAGTAATTACATATTTAACATGTTTGTCTAATAACGCTGTTATTAATTGCCACAAATATCTTTTGAGATTTATTTTCACATTTCTTGTTGTGAATTGTATCATGAAGATATTAGATATTTAGACATTCAATGGCTTGCCTTTGGCCAGCGGTGGCACGCAGCCAGTGGCTGTGTAAATTGTACCATGTTGTATAATGTTAGGCAATTTATTATTCTGTGATAATCAGGTCATAGAATTACTTTACAGTGCTTTAGATCAATATGTTTGGAAAGATGGTTTCTTTGGTACACTTCTGTATCGATATTGCACCAGGTATTGTTATAATATAGGTTGGTTGATAGGCTTGGCTTTTATATGTGTAACTATAGGCCAGGCCCATTAATGTTGGTCACCAATGTGAGTGACAGCATGATTTTTTCCTGGAGGGAATTGGCATAAAATTTCCTCTTTTTTTTGTATGTTTTCGGCGAGGTTTAGAAACTGGATGATGCCTCTTCGCTGCTGAAAGCCACTTGTGATACATTTATTCGGACGCTCGAAGAGTGCATGAAAATTGCGAATGCCTCCTACTCGTATGAAACGCCGCACACGCACATCACAGATGTTGCAAGGGCTGAGTCACCAGTTAAATCGTCACACATCCATCTGTACAAAAACGTCAGTATTGTTTAATGCTGCTGCAGGGGCGCGTTTATTTAATGCTGCTGCAGGGGCCCGTTCATTTAACGTTTTTTTCGTTTTTTTTCCTGCGACCTCAGATGACCTCGGAGGTCAAATCCAATGTGTCCATGACATTCAGCATCAAAAGTTACCCCTACTGAACGTCCTTGGACATTTCTAGAGTGCTCCATATTGATTTGCATTAAGAATAGACAAACAAACAGACATATACATTCACAAATATGTATTAGATATAATATATATATATTATATATATATATATATATGGTTGCCCAGGAATTTCAAAAGGCATGTTGTTTATTGATGGATGGAAGAGGGCCATGGATGGGCTTGTAATTCCTTCCCGATATATCGATTTTATTACAAATATATTATGATCATTTTATTTTACATGTCATGTTTGGTGCTTTATTTTCATCTGATCTAAAGGTGGAACAATCCGCACAGAAAATGATGGTAATAAATATGTGCTGATAACATTAATATGTACTTTCATGTTTTTTCAGAATAATATGTTACCATACACAAGAAAAAATTCACTTGATAAATCCAGGTTAGTAGTTAAATAGTACCCATGGTTTGTGAAGTAATAACTTTGTCTCTCTTCTGTATTTATGTGTGATACCTTTATTGTTTTGATCTGCAATTTTATAGTCACCCGGTGTGGTATCCTCTTCATCCCTCATTATAAATGATAAATATTTACAAATTTGTTAAAATTTGCTTATCAATGTGTTTCGTGTTGGTGCCACTGCTTGTTGATACCCTTTGAAGTAATGACACAAGTTTTTGTGTAAGGCCAATTGTGTAAACAACATTCTCCTGATTGGTCTGTATCACATACATGACAAATCCATCTGTTCTGTTCTATCATTCTGTACTGCTTTCCTGTTCTATCATCTGGTTTGACCTAATGCTTGTGTAGCTGATGACATCATATGTTATACTTGATATTACGTATGTGTACATTTTGTTTGTTGTTTGTAGGCATTCCCCAAGTGCAGGGACACCGTCCGGTTCTGAGTCGTCTTATAATGTTTTCATTAGTGAGATGGTACCACGTTGCAGGGGAAGAAGCCAGTCAGGAAGCCTTGACCATATAGTCACTGTGGCATCAAGTGGTATTCAAGTGTTTTTGCATCCTGAACTGGATTGTGATAAAAATTCTAGAATTATACAATGTGTTTATGTATAATTGAATAATCCGTGTCAAGTAGGAAAACCAAAATAATATTTAACCAAGATTGACCAAAAACTAATCCATTGCCAGCATATCAATTAAGTTCTACTGCATTCTTTGCCTATGCACATTATAACACTTTGCCTTCTTCTATGCATGCATTTTATTTCCCATAGCTATGTCAGTGATTTCCCTACCAAAAATTATAAAGTGATATATGTTACACCTGCATAGAAGTATAAAATATCTAAAATTTGCCGTATGCATGGTGTCTGCCAAATAAAAATGGGCAATGGCTATGTAAAGAGAAAATTTACACTTATTCCCATGATTGCTGTTTTACTTATAAATGATTGTTTTGCACAATTAGTAAATGTTACTTAACAGATAACTACCATATATTAGATTAAGGTTTGTGCTTTTGAGTTATATGATATATGGTATTCATGCCTTAATGATCGTACTTGATGTGTGCTGTGCAGTCAATGAGATACTGTAAAATAGTACGTCGTATATTTCCACAGACATAGCATGGTACCGGTCGGTATATGTGAATACATAAATGCCATGTTCTTCATTCACAGAAGTCACACGGCAAAATAAAGATGAAAAGTCTTCTGGCTTGCAAGAATATAATCCACAGAAAGAAAGCACAGAGTCACAAGAAAAAATTCTCAACTTCTTCAGCACCCAACCTGTTAGGTAAATTTCTGTAAAACAAGTTTTTATTCAATTCTATACCAACTGCAATATAAATATATTTGAGAGAATTCTTACAGGGATTAATTGTATCCCCCGCGACGAAGTCGGCGGCGATACTATGGTTTCATGTCTGTCCAGCCGCCGCCGCAGACACTCCTTTCCGCATTATAACTCGACCCCTAATTGACCTAGCGTGACCAAACATGGTCTACTTACACATCTTGGGAAGAAGGTGCGCAGCGTACCAAAACCAGGTCATTGCGAGCTTTATTTGACCTTTACCTTGACCTTTATCATATTTCCTTTCCGCTCTATAACTCGGCCCCTAATTGACTTAGCGCTACCAAACTTGGTATACTTACACATCTTGGGGAGAAGGTACGCAGCGTACCAAAACCAGGTCACTGCAACCTTTATTTGACCTTGACCTTGATCATGTTTTTTTCCCGCTCTATAACTCGGCCCCTAATTGACCTAGCGCGACCAAACTTGGTATACTTACACATCTTGGGAGAAGGTGTGTCGCGTACCGAAACTAGGTCACTGGAACCTTTATTTAACATTGACCTTGACCTTCATCATATTTCTCTTCCGCTCTATAACTCGGCCCCTAATTGACCTAGTGCGAGCAAACTTCGTATACTTACACATCTTGGGGAGAATGTGTGTCGCGTGCCAAAACCCTTAAGGCAACCAATTTTAACATACTTGCACATCTCGGGCAGATAAGTTGTGTAACAAACCTTTGTCTTTGTGACTTCAGACGCGGATTTAGGCCGGTTTGCACCGGTTTCCAGAAAACGGTCACAGGCCTCAAAATTCACCATAATGCACCAAATATAGCCTAATCTTTACAAAATTTATCCGGACCCCCTAGCTGCAGAAGAACATGGAAACTGGTCACTCAAACCCTCTGGATCTGCCCCTGGACTTCTTTAACTTTACCTACATTCTACATCCTTACAGAGATATTTCATTCATACTAGATCACGGGGGATACATGTAGTTGGCGACAACTGCCCTTTCTAGTTTATATGTGGACATGGGATTATACTGGGTGCGTGTGATAATTCTATAAATTGCCTGGAGGCAACAGAAAATTAAATTGCATTCATACAGACTGATGCAGTTAATATCAGTAGAACTATTTACAATTTGGAAAAGTCTAGTAGTAATATTATGAATGTACGTATCATGGCAATGTCATAGAATTTTTAATGTTGCGTTTTGTAGTTTTGTTCATATTGAACTTGAAGCAGGAGGAATACCAACTCAGAAATTTTTGGATGCCTGCCAATCTATCATAGCTATTCTTGGTATGCTATATTAGTAATTGTCATTTATCATTTATCTAATTATTACAGTATTTACAATTATGACATTTATTAAACATATAAAGCAAATAAATATAAATATTGTTTATTTATAGTGTTCATATATATTTATAGGTTTACGTAATATTTCACAATGTTCAATTTTACAAAAATGGTTAGTAATCATAGTTTCTGCATGTTATTAATTATTGGAATTGCTCACTTAAATGTTAGTTGGAAAGTAAATTTAGCAATCAATTGTTTTCTACCTTTCACAGATCTCCTGGGTTCTACTGCTTTTGCACCTGTAAAAATGGATGTTAATTGGAACATAATGGTACTCTTTAATAGCCTTACATTGAACTAGTGTAAGCAAACCAAATAATGCATTATTGTGGCTAAAGCTTTTGCTGAATAACTTTTTCATACAGATGCAAGCCTTACAACCCGAGGTTATTTAAAGTAACATGTAGAAACCTTAAATAACATGGCCACTTCAATGCTAGCTTTAAACCCTGTTTTTTCAAAGCAGCTGTAGATGTGGCATCTGCTTCGCTATTGTTACTGTGTAGTATCCCTGCAAAAATATGCAGTATGTATTAAAATTAAAATGTCAGCTGCAGCAATTTTTAAACTTAATTAAAGCAAACTAGTTTATAGTAATGTGCCGTGCTCATTTTTCAGAAAGTGCACCAGAAGTTTTTAATGTCGCCGCAAAAGTACAGTTCACTTCAGAAAATTGTTCTCGATGAAACGGAACAAAACGTCCACAACGTGGCCAACTCTGCTACTGAAGCTCTACGGTGGCTGAACAGGTATAGATGTTAGCTTTGTTACCCGTCTGTAATATGATCGAAAGCATTTAATTATTTTGATTAAACATGATATTAGATAAATAATAATGGATTAGACAGTAAGTTCTATTACAGGGGCGGATCCAGGATTTTTGAAAGGTGGTGTCCAGGAAGAAAGAAAGGGCACTTTTTCCTGCTTAATTTTTCTGGTGTTTTAAAAAGCTGCCGAATGCCATCTAGGGGGGGACTTCCTCCAAGAAAATTTTTAAACAATCCGGAGATACAGACTAAAACGTACGACACGATTTTCTATTATGTTGCCAGCAAACTGAATGGGTAAACCGCCTAACTCGAAACAAAAGGCAGCTACTAACGACTCTTGTGTCCTTGGCGATGCGGTGTGGCTCGCTGAGCTAATCCTTGACCTATTTACAGCTGACTTTTGTTTCGAGTTAGGCGGTTTACACATTCAGTTTGCTGGCAACATAATGGAAAATCGTGTCGTACGTTTTAATCTGTATCTCCGGATTGCGGGTGTATACGCGGAAATGATTTCGCACGATGCTAGGCGAATGTCAGAATGTACTGTGTACGATTTGAGCTCAAGTTGGATGAGTTACGCATAGTAAATCAGAGGTATTCTAAGGCTAGTAAATGACGAATTTTCCTTGTTTATTGAAGTCACACTCCTTCCCTATTATCTACTCCTGATTTATATATATATAAGTTAATCTCTATCAGAAAAACTAGCCCTAAACAAGTGCCGCAGAGCGACAGCGCTCAACTGACGTGTACTGTAGCCAGGTATTCTTCTGATAAACTCACTGGCAACCGAATCAAGTACGCCCTCCTGCCACCGCATTCGTGCTCAGAGCATATATCTAGGATACTACTAATACAGATTTAAAATCTATGATAGGCTTTGCTATACCTACTGCTAGTACAGTAAAAAGATACAGACCTGTGTAACTTAATGACATTCGCTATATTAACATCGTTAACATGGATATGCACTCCGAGCCCTGTGAGCGAAGTCGGGGTGGTTGGGCGAGCGGAGGGCCGGGCTCTAAGAGCAAAAAGCAGTTCAGTCCTTTGTTACACAGTCAACAAATCCATGTTAACCCTACCCATCTTGAGCGGGTCAAGAAGGTTATCAGACACTTGTACTCTTCGCCACGTTTACAGCGGAAAGTAGATTTCAATGCGTTCTTTCAATAAAAGTGATAAAAACGGCTACCGGACAGTCAGCGCATGAAACAAAAAAGTTTTGCACTCGGTCCGTTAGACCATGTCCTTAGAAAATGTCTGATATCTGACCTTTCCCCTTTGACCTGTGACTTCCAATTTCGCGCTGGTGATGGGTTTCCTCCCCATCACACTATACACTAATATTAAGAGCGTAGGTCGAGCGGTTGAGATTTGTTCCGCAATTCCGTATTTCCTATTATACCTTAAGTTAAAGGGGAAATATTGCCCCTCCATTGACACATCTTGACCTTTGACCCTTGACCTTCAAATTTGACATCACGCGACCTCCCCCCCCACCCCTTGACGTCTCGAATATCAAGCCCGTACGTCGAGCGGTTAAGATTTGTGCCCAACTGTTGATGGACGGACGCACGCACGCACGCACGGAAAATCATGCGATTCTACAAGCTGCATCCGACTTCGTCAGCGGAGCTAAAAAATTGGGATGAAATTTTTTAGGGGACTTTGAAATTAAAGGGGGATCCGCCCCTGTATTATAATTTTATGATGCTCTAGACTTTTGTATGATTACCAAATCACCTTTTATAAACTATTATTTATTACATGATTTTAAATATAGGTGTTAACGTGCAGGTGCAAGTATCACATTTGCAGTTATTATGTCGATAAATATTGACAATATTTAACCGTTTTTCACACTACTTTATATCTTACAATTCACTTATCAGACTTGCTAGCATTTTAATTTATTATAAACTTTTCACAGAGGCACAGAATTTATCGTTAGGATCCTGCAAGAATTCCTGCAAGCAGATACCGAGTTGTATGAATGTGTCCAGCAGGCCTACAATGACACACTAAAGCAGTACCACAGCTGGGTTGTTCGTGGTGTGTTTGCAGTGAGTATTTGTCTTTAATGCTTGGTTAAGGTTTTCTTATGTCCGATTAGAATATCCTCATCTAACACTATGCAAGTGGTAAAGTGAGTGTATATCAAATAAATATATTTCAGATATCAATAATTTAATTACGCAGGGTAGAGAAATGTTTATTAGTTCAGAAAAAGAGCTTTTTGGTTGTTATTGATTCTTGTGACATATACCACACAATTATACATTGTAATGTGTACAAAAATATCACTTTGAGAATCAAATATGTTATCTAGCCAACATTGTGCTTTTATTTTGTCATTTATTCATTCTATTCTGTTATTTGAACTGTGATTGTATGTTTTAAATGTCTCTTTTAGTTGGCTTTAAAAGCAGTGCCTTATCGACGTGACTTTATTATCAAATGCGAACGCCAGCCTGGAGATCACCTCAGACCCAACTATAACTCCCAGGTAAGCTGCATGATAATGTGTTTCATGTGGTACTCACCATATCACTTTTATATCCTCATAGCTTTGTAAGCTTTTGAACATAAAATATAAACCAATCTTGTTTGCTGATCATTGCAGCGACCCAGTGTTAACACTTTCTCACTGCCAACGGCCCCTATATTGTACGGCAAAACAAGCTGCGAACCAGTGGATGAGAACAGTTTATCAGATCAATAAAAAGTAAAGTTATTATAAACAGCCGTTTATGAATTTCTGTTTATCACTTGCAAAACTTCCGAATTTCCTGTCAAACTTTATAATGTTTACCATAATATTATGATACAACAGATGCCACTGTAAGTTTATTGATTGATGGCTATGCTATGTTTTTGCCGTCGATTTTCCTCTATTTATCTAGATTGTAACTATGTATGGGAAAGAAGATTAGAAATGAAGGCTGTGGGATGTTTATAGTGATACCCTACCTTACAGTAGCTCGGGTTACATAAATTCACCCACACGTAACAGTGCTCGAAATAAGCGTTGTCCGGTTGTCCAAGACAACCAGAATTCGCGCCGGACAACCTAACGAGTCTGAGACATTGACCAAGAAAAATGTGACGAAAAACGCACTTTATTTATATTTTTCTGACCGCTAATTGAATTTCTTTTGGCTGTCGATCGGCCTACATTGCGTCCATAGCTAGTGTTGTTTTGCGGCTGCTCATATAGACTGGTTCACGGCCGCACTGTTTGTCGCAGAGCGTGTACATTGTCTAGCAGAGCGTGAGGCCGGATACCAGTCTACCCTTCGGCAAAAACAATAACATGGCTTGCTGCCAGCCGCAGTAGACGATCGATAAACCGTGCGCTCGTGTATGCCCGTGGTAGAATACGAATGCTTCACGTGAACTCGGCCCACGCGCGATTTAAAGCGCGGGAAACAGCATCTACGAATTCATACGATGACACACTCTTATCTAAATAAAGTTTTTCATAACAATGGTCTGGGTCTGGGCTAGTGAAAGTTAGGTCAGGGCTAGTGGTTTTCCTCAGTTACTAGCCCGATGGTCTAGTGAAAGTTAGGTCAGGGCTAGTGGTTTTCCTCAGTTACTAGCCCGATGGTCTAGTGAAATAAAAAGTTAATGTTGAACCCTGCATCGGCGAGTAAACAGGTAACTACTTATCGATCACTACAAACGCTTTTTCTGAAGAGACAAATGACTTGTTGCTGGTAGATTTGTTGTGGCAGTGATGTAATCGAATCTGCCTGAGAGGTAAACATTGACTAACTGGACCGAGTGTGTCAGCGATAATAGAGGTATTCTATAGCTAGCCATGTCAAACCATTTTAAACTTATTAAAAATTAAAAAAAACAAGCTGTTCCAGTTGTTAAGAATGATATCAATTTTGAAACAGACTTCTTAGAGTTGAGAAGACAATTATATTTTTTTATACAAAACGGATTCTATTCAAATGACAATGATTAAAGGAGCTTAGGTTTGGATTCTAGACAAAGTTCTGTGTTCCATTCAATGAGACCTGGAATACGTTTTGCATGATATATTCAGTTGCAGTTTGAATTTTTATTCAATGGGTATATATAGTGATAATTGTAGCCAATGTCATTTAGTATCCAGTCATATGAGTCACACTGCAATAATATTATTATACATCTGAATGATCTGATCATAAGTGGGCCAATTGATATATAATAATATTATTGCAGTATGACTCATTAAGTATGAGTGAATACCCTGAAACCACATGTCTTGCATTTTTATAAACCAAAATTTTTTGGCTAATGTCAAGACTCATGCAAAAGAAGATTAACTAGTCACGATGACCATCCTGATTCATGCAAAGTATTAAGTTTACAGGTTGAAATAAAATAAATTTAAAGATATCACTCCTACAGTATGTTTTGGGGCAGTGGCGTAGTTGGGGGGGGGGGAGAGTGGGGATCTATGTTGATCCGAGTTAAAAAAAGAGAATTGTTCTACTAAAAAGAGAATTGTCGTAGTCAGAATGAAGGCTGTACATGTACTCAAAGGTGCTGCAAATACCATCTCCTGCGATCTACATTTTCAAAATGTTCTGAAGGAGGACCCCCATACCCCCCCCCAAGACATGATGGATGCCAAGCGCACACACTTGGTGGTGGGGTGCTTATTGATTCTCCACACGCTGGTGCGGCGGAATGCATGCAGCTCCCACGCTGGTGCGTGAGTCGCCGCGCACTCGCGCCACGCTGGCTGGGACTGCGTGAGTGTGTGCAGCCCAAGACCTGGTGGGTGCTGTGCCGCGTGTAGCTCGGCGGAGTGCCTCCGACGCTGCTGGGCGCGGGAAATGCACATGCAGCCCCCACGGGACTGGTGGCGTGAAGTGTAGCGCGCAGCCCCCACGCTGGTACGGAATGCGCATGAGCCGGGCGAGGCGACGGGGTCGCCGCCACCGGGTGTGCCGTGAAGTGCATGCGCAGCCCCCCACGCCTGGTGGGTGCGTGAAGTGCGGAGCTGGCAGGCGTCCCGCCTGACCTGGGTGGGATGAGTGGTGTGCCAGCCCACGACGTGGCTGGCGTGCCGTGTGCGCAGGCTCCGCTGGTGCGTGCGCTGGGCGTGTGAGGCACGCCCCCACCTGGTGTTGCCGTGCGTGTAGCCCAACGCTGGTGGGTGCGTGCGTGCGTGTAGCCCCCACGCTGGTGCGTGAGTGTGCGCAGCCCCCACGCTGGTGGGTGCGTGAGTGTGCGCAGCCCCCACGCTTGGTGGCGTGGGGGGGAGGTGCTTGCAGCCCCACGCTGGTGCGTGAGTGTGTGCAGCCCCCACGCTGGTGGCGTGAGTGCGTGAGTGTGTGCAGCCCCCACGCTGGTGGGTGCGTGAGTGCATGTAGCCCCCACGCTGGTGCGTGAGTGCGCGCAGCCCCCACGCTGGTGGGTGAGTGCGTGCAGCCGACTCAGCTGGTGCCTGGTTGCGTGCAGCCCCCACGCTGGTTGGGTGCGTGAGTTGTGCAGCCCCACCTGGTGGCGTGAGTTGTGTGGCAGCCCCCACGTGTGCGTGAGTGCGCGCAGGCTCCACGCTGGTGCGTGAGTGCGCGCAGGCCCCCACCTGGTGGCGTGAGTGTGTGCAGCCCCACGCTGGTGGCGGGATCGCATGCAGCCCCCCACGCTCGGTGGTGGCGTGGAGTGTGTGCAGCCCCACCTGGTGCGTGAAGTGGCGCGCAGCCTCCACGCTGGTGGTGCGTGAGTGTGGCAGCCTCCACGCCTGTGCGTGAGTGTGTGCAGCCCCACGCTGGTGCGTGAGTGTGTGCAGCCCCCACGCTGGTGCGTGAGTGCGCGCAGCCCCCACGCTGGTGCGTGAGTGTGTGCAGCCCCACGCTCGGTCGCGGGATGCAAAGCAGGCCCACGCTGGGTGGGGTGCGTGAGATGTGTGCACCCCCACGCTGGTGGCGTGAGTGCGCGCAGCCTCCACGCTGGTGGGTGCGTGAGTGTGTGCAGCCTCCACGCTGGTGCGTGAGTGTGTGCAGCCACCAACCGCTGGTGGCGTGCAGTGCGCGCAGCTCACACGCTGGTGGGTGCGTGAGTGTGCGCAGCCCCGCCACGCTGGTGCGTGGTGCGTGTAGCCCCACGCTGGTGCGTGAGTGGTGCGCAGCCCACGGCTGGTGCGTGAGTGCGCGCAGCCTCCACGCTGGTGGGTGCGTGAGTGTGCGCAGCCCCCACGCTGGTGCGTGAGTCGTGTAGCCCCCACGCTGGTGCGTGAGTGCGCGCAGCCCCCACGCTGGTGCGTGAGTGTGCGCAGCCCCCACGCTGGTGCGTGAGTGTGTGCCAGGCCCGCAACGCTTCGGTGGTGAGTGCGTGGCAGCCCCCACCCTGGGTGCGTGAGTGTGCGCAGCCCCACGCTTGGTGCGTGAGTGATGCCGCACCCGGCCACGCTGGTGGCCGGGAATGCATGCAGCCCCACGCGGTGGGGCGTGAGTGTGGCGCAGCCCCCACGCTGTGCGGGAATGCATGCAGCCGCCATCGCTGGTGGCGGGAACGCAGCGCTAGCCGCACCACGCTGGTGCGGGCAATGCATGCACCCACGCTGGTGCGTGAGTGCGCGCAGCTCACGCTGGTGGGTGCGTGAGTGTGCGCACCCCCGGCTGGTGCGTGAAGTGCGTGTAGCCCAACGCTGGTGCGTGAGTGTGCGCACCCCCACGCTTGTTGGGTGCGTTGAGTGTCGCGCAGCCCCCACGCTTTGGGTGCGTGAGTGCTGGCGGCAGCCCCCACGCTTGTGGGTGCGTGAGTGCGCGCAGCCCCCAGGAAAATAATGACAATGCAAAATCAATGAGCACAAAATAGAATGTTTCCAAAATCAAGAATCTCATTTATTTTTAAAGAATATTCAGCATGTCACAATTGGTACTCTGCGTAAATTGATCCTTTTATAATATTCGTTCATCTCTTATAATTGTACTTAAAAATATAATATGACTAATATAATAAATTAATAAGAATACCTGACGTTACATACTCGCATAGCTACTTGAGAATATACTCATACTAAAATATGTCTCATATGAACGTTTTGAGGATGGCAATATAACTAATATTTAATAATAATGCGCAACCATTTATTTGAATAATTCAAAATTAACACAGTGCCGGCATAGGAAAATAATGAAAATGCAAAATCAATGAGTACAAAATAGAATGTTTCCAAAATCAAGAATCTCATTTATTTTTAAAGAATATTCAGCATGTCACAATTGGTACTCTGCGTAAATTGATCCTTTTATAATTAACGTTCATCTCTTTATAATTGTACTTAAAATATAATGACTAATATAACCACAAATTAACCAATATAAATGAATATAAATTAATAAGAATACCTGAACGTTACATACTCGCATACTTGAGAATACACTCATACTAAAATATGTCTCACATGAACGTTTTGAGGATGGCAAGATAACTAATATTTAATAATAATACGCAACCATTTATTTGAATAATTCAAAATTAACACAGTGCCGGCATAGG